CTCGTGTTTAAACCGTGAGGAGACCGTCAGACTGGGTGCGAAAGCTTTGAATAATTTCAATGATGTGGCTAAGGATGAATACGCGTATTTAATATACCTTAAAAAGGCGTAAATCAGTGGATGATTTGCATAAGTACATGTTTCATTAGATGCGAGCATACGCAAAAGGTCTGCAAAGCGTCAAATACCATGAATATGTTTTATATGTTGTAATCTTTTAAACTGTTCAGTGCAACTGTGGTATTGAATTGAAGTAAAACTTCTTTAGGCGCGACTAGGGAGTAACTCAGATTTTTTCTGACGGAAGTAACGCTTTTTCTGACGGAAGTAACGTCATAAGTGTATGTCATATTTTTAAAATATGACATACTTATGACGTTACTAAATATTTAATCATTTCAGTGATATATGCCGTCAACGCCAAAAAAGTTTTACTTCAATCGCGCGTAAAGGTTACACGTGTGTGCGTGTAGCACACACTTTTTTTTAATATTAAAAATTACTTAATACGCCCTGAGTAGATTTTTTTTTTGTTTTCAATATTTATTGAGTTCCACCGATACTTTGGTATCGAATAAGCACAGCCAGGTTAAGAAAGCTTCGTCGCATTCTCGAATTCACGTATGGTAATAAAATATTTATTCGATACATTTGTTTTAAGGTTTCTTTTTTGGTTTCTTTTATTCGTTCCGCAATGTATTCCGTTTTAACGGCGTTCGGATCGTTAAAGTGAATTTAACGGTATCCCCGTTTAGTTAGGATTTAATTGTAGCTGACGCGCCAACGTGAACGGTACTAGCGGCGAAAGAAATTATTATACTTATAGCGATGCGATATCTTATTTAAATCGTTTCCACAAACCGTGAACGTTGCACGCTACGAAGAAATGGTCATAGGGGCGGGTGTTAATCTTCCGAACCCCCAGTTTGATATATGACAAAGATAAACAATTTTAGAACAGACTATTTAAAGCGGTGGTCCATCTGAGGTGAGGCTTGCCGCCTCCACAGCGGCATGCGCCTATTAATGCTTAGTTTTTAAATTACCACGAAAATATCATCGCCTAACACTTGCGATCAGCGGACGCCCACAAGCTTATCATCTGTAACTTTCCGACACTTAATAAATTTTATGAAAATTGGATAGCAAGCGTTATGTCAACTCTCGCAGAGAATAAAGGCGCCTGGACTTAATATTACTGATAAGATATTGGCAGAATTCTAAGAAAAGCCATAAATGGCTTCTCTTAGAATTCTGCCAATAATTGGAAAAGAAATGGAATCTCAAAGAAACCAACCAAGACGCTTTAATTTTCTATCTTTCGAATCTCATATCCAAATTTACCAGATTGCGCCCAAAGCAGGGTTATGTGTTTATCAGCCTATATGTATGTTTGTTTCGTTCCTTAGTACCGCTCAAACGTAAAATCAAAATATGTTTATTCAAATAGACGCTTGCGCTTTCTTATTAAAGGTCGAATTTTACAGCTATATATATTAAACGCTTGGACCATTCAAAATCGGTTTCTTACGTTAATTGTAATCTCTACATGTTGCTAGTGTCTCCAAAGATTATCTATCTAGTGACAAAATCCCAATTAAATTAACCAAAATTCAAAATGGCGACAAGCACACACCATATCGTGATGAAGCTATGACAACCTATAGAAAAATGTTCAATACAAACAGCATAATATTTGCCTTTTAAAATTTAACTATTACGCAAATTTTACAGTTCGTCTTTCCACAATGTTCAATTATGCTTTGTCATTGTTAAAAGAATCTGTTATATTTGATGTAGATACAATAAGTTAGGTTACAAGTGTATACAAACCTTTATACCTAATTCAAATCTTTGTGATTAGAAGTTCATTTGGGCGTCCATTCGTCGAGGGTTCCTGATTTACGCAGTTTCATTCCCCCATTGAACCAATTTCATGCGTCATGTCTTTAATTCGTTGGTAGCATTTATCGCGAAGCTCAATATATGCGCCCCTTATATGAAACGTGTTCGAAACCTTATTAGGCATCCGTAATGTTTCGAGGTAGCATATGTTAATAATAGTATTTCTGTGTGTGTTGTGATTGGATGTAAGTTGTATGTTTTGTACGTATGCGATAATTTTGGAAATGCTGTACCGTTTCCAAATATTTTGGTACTGCCAAAATCCATTTAATTTCTTCTACCATTTCAAAAATTATTTTTTTAATAATAGGCGTATTTTTGATAATTTATCGTTGTCTACTTCAATCAACGTCAGCTAATATTTAAAAGGACTATTAACTTTTTCTAAACTTTCATTATAACTTGACAATCAGTTGCAACAAAAAAAGTTTCTCTTTAAACATTTTTCGTGTTTAATGTGCACGTATTAATTTGATTTACCATATTCTTTAGTTTTTTCTTTCGCTTTATGTGATAATAAAGGCTAAAGCTGACACTAGCCAAGGCCACGATTAGTGCATCATTCAGTCGCCGTCAAAAACAATGTCGATGTCGGCAACATGTCGTGACGTCGTGACGTCGTGACGTCGTGGGGCGTTTTACCTCGAACGGCGTACAAACCGCGCAATCTTTCAGTCGTTCCCGCAACCTTACCGCGTCGACCGACGGTTGGGAATTTGCTATACGCTACCTTTTTTGCATTGCATTGCGTCTTCTGTACTAAAGTCATCGGAATCAGTGTTGTTTTTGCTAACGTAAGCGGCGGTGTAAAAAATTATAGCGTCGTCGGATACATTCGTACGTTTATTAGTGTTCCACGTTTAATTTTTTTTTGATGTTTCGGAATCTTTACTGTTACGTATTGTTAATACTTTTTAAATAATTCTTAATGAATTTAGTAAACACCACAAAATATTCTCACCTGACGCCTGAAATACGTATAAGTTATTATAAATAGTTTGGGAGTTTTTACGGCGGAGTTAGGTGTAGTTGAATAATGTTGACATTCAGAACTAATTTTCTTTTATTATTGACCATAGTGTTTGGGCGTTTTGGCAGCATTGTTCTTGGCGCGGCTTCAAAGTTTCTACTCTATCCGTTCTAGTGCGAACCATTCATTAGTTCACGAATTTAATGAAGGAATATATTTTACCAAACATCGAAATAACAAAGGAAATCATACAAAATATATTCAAACTCACATTCAAATGCGTGCAGTTTTGCCATCCCATCACATTTGGATGGTGCATGTTAATTTCAAATTCAAACGTTAAAGTGTATGAAATTTCATTTCCCTTTAAATTACATACACAATCGTGATTTGGTTCATAATGAAACATAATAGATTTTATAGCTTACTCAATGTTTTTTATCTTAAATGAAAAATCTGATGCTAAGTTACATTCGGTAGCCGTGCACGTTTATGATACCAAAGGTGCTCTTCTCAAGGCAGGTCAATTATCTTGATATGATGTAGTGAGGTATAATAGGGTAGATATAGATTTAACAACAGACTCACTAACCGCATATACACCGTTTGGGATACAGCTGACATTTACTTACGTCGTTCCCACCAAACTATACTAATAAATAAATACTCTTGCTAAATAAAGCGCTCTTTGCGTTGTCGCAAGAGCAAACACCACGTTGCGCGTCTTAGATAGCCCTTTGTCGTTCCAATCCGAAATAGCTGCAACAGCAATGGATTTAAGTGCTTTTAGCGCTTCTCTGCTTGTTCCGTCTCGCCAGAATGTTAGCGTCGTATCGTTTCGTTCGCTACTGTCGCAAGACTCTCGTTTCAGGCACATACCAAGGAGTGGCATATTGTTATCCCTGATGCGTTCGACGTACGGCTATAGTTTCTCGTGTCTATCGTCGTGTCAAGTATGCTACGCGATGGCCTAGTGTAAGTTGACCTCATCAGGGTTGCCACAAGATTCTACTTATATCCATTAATTTTTCCTCCCTTTTAAAAAGGCCCGCCCTGAGACGTGGATCTTGCGACTTGGGTGCAACTTGCTATTAATTACATGCAGAAATTATTTCCTAAAAATTTTCTACCCGGTCTACCGATAAATCTTTTAAATGTGCTTGGAAATAAAATGAACTCTTCGAAATTTAGATAACATTATCTATTCATTTTTGTATATATCTTTATATTGAACCACAATACGATTATTGAACCGCAATTAAATGTCGCAATAACGCGGTAGTCCGGAGAGAATCGCCGAAATTATTAGAAAGATGCGTGTGAAGACACTTCGCTTACTATTGATTTATTAATCATAAGGAATCTACTAGAACAGCATGAGTATTATCTTTTTGGGAAGTGTCGATTTAGTCGTGGTGGGATTACAAACGCAACAAATCCGTAAAAATCTATTCTCTCACTGTCGCAATTACCCGGTGGGTTTATAGAGGTGTTCCTCGTTGTTTTCCGACTAATTGAGCTCGTCCCCCGTGTACTACATTGGTGTCCGGTGACCCTGCCACCCTGGGCCCGTGCCCGCACAAACATTCACTTCCTTATTAGAACCTATATCGCCGCGTCGGGGAACAATGAGACTGTTACGCGGGCCGTAAACGCTCGCGTCGTAAATGTCAATCTGTTGTTTTAATTAGCACCGCGCGGAATGCCGGTTTACGACCTTCCACGACCCAGCATTCGTGCCGTCTTGGGTGGCGTGGCGCAACCTGCTCGGCCAAATCGGAATTCAAATCGATCTTGCGACTTTTTAAGGTGGAACAGGTGGCTTACCTGGTGGTGAGCGATCACCGACACACGAACATCCGAAACGCCAGCGACTCCTCTGGCCTTTGAGTTAAGAATGGGCTGCTTTCTTTTAACACTAAATGTATATGTGTCCGGAAATACCGGCCCGCCATTGACAAATGACTTTACAAAATGGGCGTACGGGTTAGAACATTTTTAGCGGCGTTCGGCCAAATTCAAAACTTAATTTTCAACATTTCCATTAGAGAAAACTACTAAAGAGGTTATTAACTTGACCAGTGAAAGACCATTCGCCGTGACGGTAGATCAAAGAAGCGCTACCATGCCCTCTAATGACCATCATAAAGCTCGGCGTGACGGTGTGGGAGTGATGAGCGTGCGCCTTTTGAGAATAGACACTCATCGACGGAAGCGGTTTGGTCGCGGTGAGATTTTGGCGGTGGCGGTCGGCTAAATTAGAATTTACCGCTACGGAACGCGTGATGGATGGCCCGTGAGGGCGGCTCACTTCGCGGTAGAATCTCAGGAATTCCACCTTTAATGCCGCTTTATATTCGGCTGTCTCGCTTTGATCAGTCCCCTGCCATCGATCACGCCGTCGGGTGCTTTATTTCGTCCTCGTTGTCACTGATTTATCGATATATGTCGATGAGTCGGATGCCTATGATCTCAGGAGCTAGTGCTGTTACACGACGCACGCAGCACTAGCCTCGAGCGGGGAATCGCGTGCGCCGGCGTCATCTGCGACTCGACGCGGCGCTGTTGCCTCAGTAGCGACTGGGACGCGTCGACGAATGCTCAGCTCGGCCGCTCGTCGCAACTGCGCGGCCTTTAGGTGACGTTTCTTATCGCTTATCGCTTATCGATCGGGTGGCATCGATATCGATACGCCGGTGCCGCGGGCCGCCCTCGAGTCGCACGCACACGCGAACGTGCCGGCGTAAGGATCTTATAGTATCTATTAGTCTGTAGGTTGTGATTATGGTGTGCCGATCGTAGTGTCGCCCCCGTGGGTGTTTTGTCGTGGTTAAGGCCGACCGGCGATTGGTCGAGGATGGACCGGACAATGTACGGCAAGGTGCTGCCGGGCACTTATTACCCGTTCCGCTGCGCTATGAAGGAGAATGGAATATCGCCGGGCTGTGAGTATTGTTTAATTATTGCCAATTATCTCAATTTGCGTTGTGTACTAGTTCGTTTTGTTTATTAATATTAATTAGTGTCAACTAAGTTGTGTTCATTCTACCGTAGTGTAATTATAAAGTGTAACAGGATTAATTTAATGTGTTTCAACATTCAATTGAGGTATCTTCTTACCATCGGGCTTGTCAGGCGAAGGGTTTTTTATTTATGTACAACTCAAATTTTGTCGTGTTGGCAGAGTATTTAACTCTTATTTATGCATATATCGCGGCTTGTGTAACGACCGTCACTATGGTTATGTTACTCTCCACACACTGCGTTATGTTTGCTGACGTATTAGGTGTGTTGCAGTTATATAATCTAATGTTTGTTTACTACCGCGTCGCGGGTGTATTCCGCACGCGTTAGTATTGCGACCGATTACACTCACGATATCGTTTCAACATCCCGCCTGGTTTATTTTTATTTGCGCTAGACCTCTGCCCATACGCATGTTGCGACGCGTGTTTGTCTGCTCCGTCATAGATCGATCGATGTGCCTTTATACAATACTTTTGGGACAGTCGAGAGAACTTTTTTCTTAACATGAACAAACAACCTTTTCCTTTTTTTTTAGAAATAGAGATTAGTGTGCGAATAATATAGCGGTTTGGGGAGACGCAGTAGGAAGATAGTTTGTGCTTTCGTCAGTTTTTGTCAAGGGCTTTCTAGTATTTGATCACTGTCCCATCTGTTGGTAAATGGCTATAGCCGTAAATGGTAAACATATTGGTACAGTGAAACTCTCGCTCTCGCTTCTTGCCTCTCGCTTGTCCGTGGTTTCACATGGTAAAAAGTTTAACGTGTGGCACGTCAGTCCCAACTTCGTTAATATTATATGAGCGAATAAGACAACATTAATTGTCGCCGATATAAGCGCAGTTGAAATCTTCATGATCTTGATGACGTTATAAATCACAAATGATAACACATTCACAATTATGTACAACATGCTGACGTTACATGTTTTTCGATGGTCTCTAAAGATTATTTATATCTTTGATCTATTAATGATTGGGTTTCTGAATGCTTCTTGGCTTTAGCTTTTTTTATGTGAAAAAGTGGCAAACGCACTGACGATTCACCTGATGTTAGGTAATAACCGCCGCCCATAGACATTTGCCACTCTCGTAGGGTTGCAAATGCGTTGCCACCTTTAAATAAAGTGGTCCCGGCTACCTCACTCACCAGACGAAACGCAGAAGTGTAACACTTCTACTTTTCGACGGTCTTCTGTGAGGTCGTGGTAATTACCCGGACGGACCTGCCCATTCTTGCAACAGTGAAAACTGTTGCGTGGCCCTACCACAGTTAAAACTAGTTGAAGTCGTATTCTGGTATAATATTTTTGTTATAACAAAGCCTCCTAGCTATGTTAAGATTCATGTAGTTATTCCTAGTTATGTGTTTAATGTCCATCCTGCCAGTAACATAATTATAAAGTTTAAAAAAAATCGAAAAAAAAATTCAAAAATTAAGAATAAGCGGTGAGGTGGAATGTTTGGAATCACCGCTGACGGCATACCCAGCGGATGGTGAAGTCATCGTGATCGTGGATATCCAGCTTGATTCGCCCCCATTAGCGTCAGTTAGACGCTCTCGTGGTATCATTTAGCGCTCTTAACGGCCCGCTCTATTCGCGTGGGGAAATCTATGGGCGGGAGACACAATTTCTTCATTGGTGCCAACACGGTAAACAAACCACGTTTTATGGTGCCGGCGTTTACGATTGGAAAATGTGTGAACACGGTCGAAAACTATTCGAAAATAAACGATTCGAAAACTACTCGGGCACCCCGGTCGGTTTGTAATTAAATCTACTCTGACTCGTGTGGAATAATTTTGTTAGTTAAAAGTCCAATTTTGAAGTCATTTAATCATAACAGTAGTAAAATAATGCACGATCAGTCCTTCGAATCTGATTTTAACGCGTTCAAAGCTGATTTTAGGATAGAAATACGGTCTATTCTATAATTTCAAAAGAAAAGACCGCATTTTTAACTTATTAAGTGTTGTGGATGTGCAGGGACGGCGGTAATTATTTCGCATCAGATGGAAGGTCTAGTTTGCCACCCTCCTTCTTTCTCCCGCCCTTACCCTAAAATAAATCAGCACAACTTTTACTTTCCTACGAATTTCCTCAATCAGCTGGCATCGTAATACGGGGAGTATTTCCTTTCACAGACATGTCACTCTTCACACAGTCCATACAAATCTTTCTCGATCTTCCTTAAACCTTACACACTCCTAACACTTTCATACTCATCACTATAACACATTCCAACTGACAACTAATTATTTTCTCAGTCATTTGTACCACTTTCAAGTTTTCCCTAATATGCTCCACCTTAAACTCTAGTTTGCCACCAATTAAGAAAAAGTAAATAACTTGCTCACGAAACTTTTGACTAGCCGCGGATGCCTTTCTAAACTAACAGTTTGTAGACAATTACCTACATCTTGTTTAGCTATCTCTAGTTGTAGCCGGGTTTTTGTAAACATTTTAAAACACTGTTGTGACTTGACACCTGTCAACCTATATGTTTACACGCGGTCTGTAGTCAGTGTACCTATGCTAGTAAATATTACATGCATATATCATGATACATACAGCGAGTTGATTTTGTTAAATTGGCTTTAGTCTCAATACAAAACAAATGTACAAATTACCTATTTACTATTTACGCTTGTCACCCAAAGATGTATAATTATATGCCTCTTCCTCCGCAATTGTTACCTGCTTGTTTCCTTTTCTGTTTATCGCTGCCTATTCTTGAGGGACAATACTATTTCGTAATTAAAAAGGCTATTCATTAACATCAATTAAATCAAAAAGCCTGTTCTATAGGAAGTTTTCCTATGCTTTTTAATTGTGTTGAAAATATGCAAGTTCTTAGACAAAGCGATCTACATTCCGACGGCTGCAAGGCCTGGTCATAACCATTAACAGACAGACAACGATATTCTGGAATCAAACTCACTTTACACGACTTTTAAGGTCCACAACCGACCCATCCAATTGAATTAATAAAATAGAATATGCTAATACAAGGTTGAATATTATTAGGTTTCCTTGTGGTTAATCTTACTAAAGACGTGTCTTCATTAATCCTAGCTGTCGGCTCGGTTACGTAATTAAGCTTTGATATTATTAATGTGATGACAACAAAGACGCAAATGTCGTGGTTTGCATCTGAATTGGTAATGCTGGCTCGATTAAGATAGGACCCCGTACCGGTAGTTACACTTTGTTCTATAAATTTTACATTTACGCATTATTAATTGCTTCTTGTATCTACTTCATTTAGTAAGTTTACTGTTTGATAAAATGGAGAGTAATACGTGCCAAAAACGCAGGTGAGCGCAAAATATGATATTTGAAAGTTCATTCCATAACTGAGATACATAGTTGTAGTTGATTTATCCTGACACTTCCTTTGCTTGACTTGTGCAAAACAAAAATTCTATGGACTTTAGTATATATATTTCTGGAATAATTTTTAATATTTCTTACAGTGTTTAAAAGATTTTAATGTGTGTTAAAAAAATTTCTAAAAATGTTTAATGTGTGCTACAAAAATTTCTTATGTCGAAATTTCTGATAGGTTTTGACTCATACTAATAATGAATACAGATTTAACATTTACGACCATTCTAAACGTATAACGGTTATGTAACGAGAACTCTATTTTGTGTTTTTCTTTGTCGGCCCGATTAGGTTGTGATTCATTATGTAAAGAGACTTTTGCATGCGTGTACACTACGCTGTCGCCTTCTGCGTATTATCCAATGCTAGCCATCTGTTCTTATTGAGTGAGCTGTCGTGTCGGCCGACCTCGCCAATGTCGGGCCTTTTACGTAAAGGAGTCAAGTTCACTCGGTTCTCTCAATGAAAACTAGTTTGTCCTTTCCGAATGCGCTCGTATTCGACTCCTTTATGCTGTCACGCGATGAGCGACTCCGCGCTGACGTCATCACAGGATGACAGTGCTGTCGTTGAAGACGCGTTAAGTAACACTTAACGCGACATTGTTGGATGTATGCAGATCGTAGCAGTCTGTAGAGGAGGCCTACTTTCAGCGGTGCATTCTACCAGGCTGAAGTGATTGAATTAATAGTCGGCAAAACAACTATAAGAGTAATAGCAACGAAAGAGCGATGTTTTTGTAACTGGTGATAGATCTCACAGCTATAAACCTACTATAACTAGTATGTATCTACGAATTAAGTACACGTTGAAGTTATATTAGGTAAGAACAGATAATAATAATCGGATGTTGCCTCTCCCAGTGAGCGCTAGGTACCCATTAGGAGAGGGCTACCGAGGGTTGACATAGTACAGGTACATTACATATCTGTTTTTTTTTATTGAAATTTAATTTTAATTTAGTTTATTCAATACGTAAAACATTTCTGTTCAAATTTTCGCTTAGACAGCCTGCTTTAAAAATGTTCAGATGTATGATAGATCATAATAATTATTATTTTTATGCTAATTCTAATCATTAAGAATATGGTATTGATTGACTTGTATTGAATATGGTATGGCGCACCCACGACACGTACGTATTTAAATACAAGGTGTTGATACGGTATGTTTATTGAAATATTTAAATCTAAACATAATAAATAATATGTTATCATTGTCAA